ATAAAGTTATTTTACTCTTTGGAGGCATTTTTATTTAAAAGTAATAAAGGAATAAAATATTTTAATGAGATAAGTGTGAGTGTAAAAATTAGATGGTTGGATACGTAAGAATATATAGGTTAAGTTATAATGGAAGTTTTATTTTTTAAAATTTATTACAAGAGTTTAGTTATTAAATAAATTTCTTGATTCATGTCTTATTTATGATAATTTTGACTGCATAAGCTTCTCTACTTGTTTTCTTTGTTCTTTGTTCTAATAACAATAACCTTTGTATCTATTAAAAAAAAAAAAGAATTCTTTAGTTTCTTGTCACTTAATAAAAATGAACAATTCTTTACCCGCCTGTTACAAAATAATTCTTTATCTCTTGCTAATAATAAATTTAATTCTTTATTCATTATCATCATTTACTAAGTATAAATTTAATTCTTTTATATTCTTTATCATCATTTACTAAGTATAAAATTTTAATTCTTTATCATCTCTTACAAAAATCAATTCTTTATACATTTTTTTTTTTTAACACAACGAAGGAAACAAGGAAAAATTATTTAATTTATAACGTCGCACAATTTTTATTGGACGATGATCACGTGAAAGTCACGGGCGTGCACTTAGAGAGGGAGTTTTATATAGTTGGGAATGGAAAATGACCGTGCAGTGCAGGGGAGAGGGGGTGTGCACTTATCTCTAATTACCAAGCTTGGGAATGAGTGAGAGCGTGCACTTAGAGGGGGTTGACTATATAAGCAACTAATGATTATAGATGATCTGCACCGTATGTACAAATTCAAGTTCCACAACTAAGCATTTTTTTATTTGAATATCATAATGTATGTTAGCTATACATTATTGAATATGTAAGAGTAACACTAAACATGGATCTAAACATTAAGGATCTTGAGAGATAAAATCTTCCTGAAGTAATGTCCACTGAATGAGCTCTTGAACCTAAATCATTCAAAGTTGTTGAATTAGTAAAGAACTTGCAATACAAACTTGGTCTTTTTCTTAATATATTTGGATTAGAAGGTTTTAATGTGATTGATGAGAAAAACTAAAACCATTTTCATCTTAACCAACCAACTTTCCCAAATTTTGGTTTATCTTTTATTTTTATGTCATAATAGATAAGGTAACAAAAAAAATATATGCATTATTAATATTAATAAGATTTTAATAGGCTGCAGCGAGTTTGTGTAATCATCACATTACACAAGCATCAGTGTAGAATTTTTTTAGGAATTTTAAAAAATTTAATTTTTACAAAGAATATTTTTTTTACAGCATTGTTAGTTTTTGTAACCCATCAATGCTCACAGCCTCCAATCTTTTATACTCTTCCAAAGCCGCCCTGGAAATTTTTAATTGGGAATAATCAAAATCAAGGATTTGCAGTTTTTCCAATGAGGGAGCTTGACTCATTGCAACATACACTTGTCCTTCAGCAAACATACTTTCGTCAACATTCAATGTTACATGTGGCAAGGTCAATCCTTGAGTTTTATGAACAGTCAGAGCAAATGCATTCTGAAGAGGAAATTGATTCCTTGATGCTCTCTTACCATAAACTTCAAAGTAAGATGTTTCTCTTTGAACAATAACCTTGCCTATGCTGGCCAAGATAGGAAAGGTCACCTTGATATTCTCTTTGTCATGAATTTTTGTCATTATTCCAATAGCTCCATTGCATATTTTTTTATCAATTAACTTATTATTAACACTTGCAGTGATGTGCAAATTTTTTTGATCCAAAGTAATTCTCTGACACCTTGACCACGAATTTAGAATTCTTTGGAATATTACATGTGCATTATAATTTATAATGCCAATCATTCTTGGCAAAATAATTATCCTCTGCTGTATACTGAAATTTATTCTTTGATAAGAGCATAATAATATTTTTGTTGTCTCTTACAATAAATGTATGAAAAAAATTCAAATCAAAAATTATTACATAAAAGTATGATCCAAAGTAATACACCAAAGTAAGAAATTTTTTGATGATATATTTTTCAAGGTGATATGTCAAAGTGAAAATAAATTTTTGAATTGGTAATACACCAAAGTATGATCCAACACTTTGACATGAATTGGTAGCACACCAAAGTATTTTTTTTGATAGTATGTCAAAAGAGAAAATTTTTCAGGAAAGAGGGAAAAATCAGTAGTGTGTCAAAGTATGATCCAATTTTTGATAGTAAAATGACAAAGCATAGGTCGATTTTTTACATAAAGTGGTAGTATTCAAAAACATCAACTATACAAGAAAGCTTTCTAGGGATCCAAAACATAGTGCACTTGTGGTAGTACATCAAGGTATAATTATTATAGAAATATATATATTATAGAAATTATGCTTTGGTGAACTACCAAGCAGATATGATTCAGGTATAGAAAAAAAGATATACATCAATTTTTCGATTTGGTAGTATATCAACCAGTGTTGTGACCCGAAATTCTGAGTTTAGGGAAACCCCAAAACAGAAACTAACAGAAACCATCCAAAACTAGTTTAGGCTAGTAGTTTATGATTAGTTTTAGGTTTAGTTTTAGTTTTCTGCTTAGTGTAAGTTCATTTTCTGAAATGTTTCAGGAAGCAAAAGAGTTTCTGGTCACAACACTGATATCAACTATATGAGAAAGGCTTCCAGAGTCCGAAAATGTGTATCATTCATTCACTCACAGCAGCATTAGAAGAGTTTAAATTTCTCTGGAATAAAAATTCTCACCAAAAAAAGTTAGAAAACATGTAATTGGACATTTGACAGACTGCCAATATATATTTAGTTACTTGCTCAAAAATATCTTCAAAATATACACTATATTAAACAAAACATACTAATAAATATCAATTATAGATAGCTGTCAAAACTACTTCCCTTAATAATGATCTTGCCAAAATTATTGCTGAATTATTTGAACTTTTTAAGCTAGAATATATCAATTCGCATAGTTATTTTGTGACATTTCATATAAAGAGTGTATTATGCCAAAACTTTTTTTTTTTTTGAGTTTAGGCAATCATCTATAAGAGTATATAGACATTCAATACTATAAAATTTACATCCATCCCATTTGTTAATAGACTTACTTTTGGGATATACCAAATGCTTTTATTCAAATTTCTTTTAAAAGACAAATATTATATAGTTCATATTTCTTTTTTAAAAAAAAACTTTTGCTTTGGTGTAATATGGTTTCCAGAATCACTAAATAACCGTTCTGCAGGAACAGATGTATATATACAACTTCCATGTTTCGTCAAAATTTTGTATTTTTGTTTATTTGGTGGTTTACATAATCTGTCATCGGTAAAATGGACTCTGACGAAAAATTAGAATTTGTTTCTTCTTCACCCGTTAATTAAAAATAATGCCATCATTTACTAAAGGCATTCGAATATTAATATTGACACCTAATACTAATACTAATTATAGTATGCTAGACTGGAATAAAAGTAAATACAAATGCAAATTTTATAACCAACAAAATCTTTTAATATATAGTGAACCTCCTTCAGATTGAGTGTCCATTTTTTTCCTTGTTTCATTTGAAATAATTGATTTTGAATTCAGTTAGTTAGTAATAGTAAAGCTTGTACCAGCCAGCTGTCACAAAATGTTGGTTTCACGATTTTAAAAAAACCAGAATAACATTCAAAAAAAAAAAATGGATAATTTCAATAATAATAGTGATACTCAACATCAACAACAAGAACAATCTCTTATTGATTATATTGCCAGTAGTTTAAAGCAAACAATACGTGGCTCGCATATATACACTATTTTCGTTTTGTCTAGCAAACCAATTTTAACAACAAAAAATAATAATAAAAATAAAAGTAAAAAACAATCAGCAGCAACAACAAAAGCCAGGAATAAAGCAACAACAACCACTAACAATGACAATGACGGTGATGATAAAAATAAGATAACAACAAGTCAATTTCATAAAAAATTATTAATACTAGTTGCAGAAGAATTTGCAAGTACAGGAAAAAAAGTTTTTGTTAATGGTATGGAAGTGTATGAATATTATGACTTGGATAAAGATTTGATGACAATTTATATATCAAAAGTTGATACAACTGGTTCACGTCCTTCTTCTTCCTCTTCCTCCCACTCCCATTCTCACTCCCCACCACCACCACCACCATCATCATCATCATCATCATCATCATCATCATCATCATCATCATCATCATCATCGCTTACAAGAAATTTGATTATTGCATATTTGAAATATTGTATAATCAATTCACAACAAAAAATCATTAAAATCAATCTATTTGCACGATCACAACCTCAATATCTTTTTCACAATTCATCAGAAAATCCTAATAAAAATATACTGAATGATACTGACTTGTTGAGATGGTGGAAAAATACTTTAAAAGTATTGAACAAAAATAGTTTAAGCCAACAACAAATAAAAGTTGAAAATGTGAATAGTTGGTTTTTTATACCTGGTGTTTTATCAAAAAGAGAAGCTAGACTACTTATTAAAGATGCCAATAATAATAATAGGGATGATGATGATAGTTTTTGGATATACGATTATCCATATTCTGATAATGACAATGCAATTGATGTTATTCCAATATTTGAAGATGATCCAAAATCAAGATGGATAAATAAAAAGAATGACAAGAATGAAAAAAATTCAGAGCTAAAAGTCAAAATGTTTTGGGAATTGTTGGCTATTGGGACAGAATTTGCAACAAGTAAAAATTCTGGTTTTTTTTGGTTAGAAATTGATTTAGGTGAAAGAAGTAAAAATGGCAATGATGGTGACCAAGGATGTGATTTATTGGATGAAGAAACGTTTATAATGTTAAAAAATGGGCTATTGTTAAAAGATTTTGGAAATGAAACACTATCAATTGAATCAACGGCATCTTGGATTAATTATTTTGATGAATTATTATCAAATGGTATTAATAACAAGAAAACATCTTTTACTGTTGAAATAAATAATCAAATTGAAGATCAACAAGAACAACAAAATAATATTGGAACATCATCAACAACTCCTTCATCACAATCTCAATTAAGAAAAATAAATAATTTAGTCAAAAGAAAATCAACAACAATATCATCTTTTGTTGGCAAGGGTAATGAAGAAGATAAAAGCTCAAATATAAATATTTTATCAACTTCATTAATAAAAAGGGTCAAGAAGAACTAATAATAATAATAGATTTTAAATAATTTATTGTAGACATAAAAACATGGCAAATTAATTTTATTTTAATTTGCAAGGTTTTTTTGATTAAAATCTAATTTCACTATATAAAATAGGAATAACCAGTATACAAGCTGTATATAATACCATTATACTTTTAATGATATTTTGTGGAAACTGCATTATATGACCATTAGAAATTATTCTCCAAGTTCCATATATTACAATAGCAACAAGATGAAAAATCATAACCAAAGGATTTGGTGTTAATCTGAATTTTATATATGTAGTTTTAAGATTAAAAATAAATATAAATTTTATCATTATAATAATAACAATAATGATTTTTTTTTAAAAAAAAATGCAATGATTACCCAGCTATTAGACTACAAGGTCCTTCAACACAAATACCACCCAAGAGAAAATAATTAAAACAAGCTTCAGCTAATATACGAAGACCTTCATCTAAAAAGAAAAGAACCAATAAAAAGCAGACAAAAAAATCAGATTCAATTGTTTAATAAGTTAATGATAAATGTATTACTATTATTATATTATTATTACCTTTATCTGCAGCAAATAATGAGTGTAAAACTTGCGCTAAAACATTAATCACCATACTACAATGAAATTTTCTTTTCAAATGAAATGCTTGCATTTGAGCCAAAACTAGACCAATGTCATTGAAATCAGGAACAATAGTTGGTGATAATAGTTTTGATAATAAGACAACATCATTAAAACCCACAGTCATACCACCTTTGTTTGAATTAGAAGAAAATAAATTTTTGTTTCAAAAAATTGTTTTCTTTTTATTGCAGAATTATTTTTATTTTTATTCTTGCTTCTTGACAATACTACCTCCTGTTAATGGATGTCTCATATTCATTGCATCACCTAACATTATTAAACCACCATTGATATTGGCAGATGGTGGTAAAAAACTATTTGGCATTGAACGAAGACGTTCATTTTGAAGAGCTTCATAGAATGGACCCTATTATTATCATTGAGATTATTATTATTATTTGTTGTAATTATTTGTTATATTATTGTTTAATACCTTAACAGATATTGGAATTGATGGTAATACAAATGTTTCAATGTGTTTCTAATTGGACAAAATCATCATCATCATTATTATTATTATTATTTATTATTATTATTATTATTATTATTATTATTACCTTTAATTCACCTGAACCATTACTTGGTAACTTTCCAGGAATATCAATTAAAACACGTGTATCACGAGTTCCAATCTAAAATTTATATAAATAACCAGTTACTTTTGATTTTCTCCTCAAATACAAAAAACAGATATTGTTATTTACTTGGTACATTATAATCAGTGCTGTATTTCCGAATAAAATTGCCGGAAATGGAAGTTCTGCATCTTTCATTATTAATCTAGAAAAAATTATTTATTAAAAAAATTTAATAATAAAAAAAAAACAAAAAAGAATTTTTAGTTACCCGACAAAATTAGATTTCACCATGGGTTTTCTTGGAACAAAATCTTTACGAAATTTAGAAAAACATCCATCAGCAACAATTGTAAGTGGTGCAAAAAACTAAATGATAAATAATAATATCATCATTGGCTAATAAATTATTCTCGAATAAAGAAAAATTATAATGTATATTTACTTGTTTAATAATATTATTATCATCACTGTTTTGAACTTTCTGAGTGCATATAACACCTAACACATGATCAGTCATTGGACATTGAATTAATTCAATTGCTGTTCCCTCAAAAATTGTAACGCTATAAAAAATAGTTGATCAATGGGTTAATTAATATTACCTAATTAATAAAAGGAAATTACTGTTATATTATTTATTCATACTTTGATGTCTCAGAAGCAGCTTTTCTAAGATTCATTATTAAACGACCATGATGAAATGATCTGCCTTTAGCCTGTTTTCCATTGTCAAGAATTGGAAATGGCAAATGAACATTATCACCTTGATAAAAAATTTTAAATCCATGACAAGGTATTGCATCAATATTCTCCAGGCAATCTTTAAAAAGATCAAAGACCAAAAAACATCAATATAATTATTTCCAAATAAATAATTTATTTGTATATCTAATCATACAATTATTTCATTCACCTTTTAACCCAAGTTTTTCTAAAGCTGCAAAACCACCAGGTTGAAGGAATTCACCAACCATACGATCAGGCTCTTTCATATCTCTTTCTATCAATATAATTGAGACATAATTAATTATAAAAATGATTTATTACTTTCACCAATTATCAATTCATTAATTGTTTATTGTTATTATCTATCATAATTACCTATTAGTAAAACCTTTCTCCCTTGCTTACCAAAAGCCACAGCAGCAGAACAACCAACAATACCAGCACCTACTATTATCAACTCATATTGTTGATGATTATTCTATTAATTAAAGAATCAGTTTAGTATAGTAATTGGTACATAATCCATAGGAAAAATTTTTTAGCAATTTTTCTTACATTATTTGATATTAAGCCTTTATTAATCATGATTTATTAACGATAGAATACAACTCTAATAAATCAGTGCAATATACTTTGTAACAATTTAGAAAAGATTGGCAATATTTTGGTAATATTTAGAAAGAATTGACAATGATGATTTAAAAACGTTCAAAGGTTGTATTTAATTATTTTTTTTAACACTTATTAATAACGGCATGAAAAAAATTTCTAATTTTGAAATTCCATTTAAATATTTTAATATAAACTTTTTGAAAATCTTTGCTGATTTTTTTCTTTATTTGTGAAAACCTTTTAAAACTCATTAACCAACTGTTGTTCCAAAAAGGAAATTTTTTTCAGACCGTTTTTTAAAAATTATAAATTATAAATATTAATATATAAAATTTTTAAAAATTTGATATCAAAATGGTTGTTGCTTCTCAACTTTATTAAACTGAATTTTTTGGGAAGCATAAGAGCAAAATCAAAAGGTAAAACATTCTAATGAACAATTTTCGTTGAAATGATTGACATCCAATTTTTAAAAAACACCTTGGATTTTTTAAAAAAAAATTTCCCTTGTACGATGGATGATAAATCTAACCCAATTAATTGAAAAAATGAAAAAAAAACTCGCGTTTTCTTTTTCAGTAAAAACCTTCTTTTTTTCCCTATCATAGATAATTATCATCATTATTTTGTATTCTAGAAAAATAATACTTGTAAACATGTGCATTACAAAAGTAATCAGTCATATTACAAACATTGAGGAAACACCTAAAAATGATTCTTTCTTAATGAATGCTATTGGAGTAGTTAGCACCACATTTCGAACTGAAGGATTGATGTCACATTTAATAATTTTTTACCCAAAAGATCCTTCAGTTGAAACTAAGATTCAAAGAATCAAAAAAGATGATGTTGTGAGAGTAGCTGGAAAATTTACTATCGAAGAAAAAATTATTGAAGATCACCAAGTTACTTTCATTAAAGTATTTATTTATTTCATTTTTATTGCTAATACTAACGATTAATTAACTATTCTTACGTCAAATTAATATTAAATAAAATTTTTTAGATTGCAGTAACCAACCCAAAAAAGGAAACAAAATGGTCGTAAAGGCGGTTGCAATCATTTTTATATGACGCAAAGTTGGTATTTACTGCCATTAGACATTATTGTTATAGTAAATGGAACTGTGATGGAAATTCCATCTATTTCTGAAACAATAGTCAAATTCGAAATTAATTCATCAGTTTATATCGAAAAGAAAAAAAGTGGATATTAAATGCTTATCACAAAACAACGGAAAAACATCTTGAACCAATTTCAAAAAAATTAAATCGTGGTCACTATTTTTCTATCTGGAAACCTAGAATTAGTGAATGGATTAAAAATGATACAAGTAACATCACTATCTTTTGTTAATTCAACCAACTCCAATACCATGTTAGATAACCAAATTCTAACAACATCTCCTATCAAAATTAATCCTTCAGTTGCAAAAATTGCTCAACAAATTATAGGTAATAATAATCCAACAAATGAAACCAAAGAAAGAAAAGAACAAAATCCAAAAACGGCACAATTGGCAGTATCTTAAATAACATCGGAAATCGTTAATGTTGAAGGCAACAACAGTGATGACAATCAAAACACTGAACATGAATAAATATTAATTTTTTATTTTTTATTTTTGTAATAAACATATTTTTTTAATTGTCAATTATTTTTGCTAAAAAAAAAATACATACCCTATAAACAATATAATATAATGCTTATAGTCATGCGAAGCATGCCATGAATGATTTATAAATTTTTGTAAAAAAAAAAATTATTTATTTTACTATAAATATTGGTGTATCAGTGCACAGTGCGACGAAGTCTCTAAAATCAAAAAATGAAAGAAAAATTTTTCCCGCCACTAAACAATTTGGAATTAATCCATTATTGATTTAGTATTAGTATTAGCATCGCCGCTAGAAAAACAATTCGGAATTAATTCATTTATTATTTAAAAAAAAATATTTTATTAATTTAAAGGGAAATCAATCAAGGTTTTTTTTGAAAAGATTCTTGCCTTTTTTGGAAAATGAAGAAAAATTCAGAATTGTTTTATTTCTAATATTAAAAACGACCATGCTTTTTTTTTAAAAGTGTGAAGAAAAAACGTAACGATTCAGAGTTTAATTTTATTATTATTTTTCTAATATTAAAAACTACCATGCCTTTTTTGGAAAGTGTGAAGAAAAAACGTAACGATTCGGGATTAATTCAACTTTTTAAACATCGAACCGCGCCTTTTTTTGAAAATGTGAAAAAAAACGTATCGATTCTAGCATTAAAACATTAATAAAAAAAGCTACGACACCCAGTATTCCCATGTTGTCCCCAACCATAGTACTGACTGGGCCATTAGTGGTTTAACTTCGGAGATCGGACGGGTTCCGGTGGTTTTCACTATGTATGGCCGTAGCTATTAGGACTGTTGAAATATATTTATTTAAACGATAAATATTATCCAATAATTTTTTATTTAAATTAATTTATCTTATATTATTGCGAGTTAGATTAAACATGTGAATTTGAAATTTATAATTATAAAATTATAATTTCAATGCTAGAAAAAATATTCTGAGCTCCATCTTTATCTGAAAGCAAACCAATTATACCTTATGGAAACTGAATGTATTCTTGTTTGTAAAACAAAAAAGCAAAAGCTCGTATTACGTTCTCAGTTGTAAACTTGTTAAAATTAAAAATTGAAATTTTTGGGGATTTTCTGTAGTACGACCAATTCATACTTGAAGCATGGGCAATAGAAAGGGGTCAGCGTCAAAATCACGATTTTGAGAAAATTGAAAAAAAGATTGCGAAAATATCATTAAGTCAGCATGGTTACTAAGCTAAAATTATAAGTTAATGTACATATGTGGTATTAACTCAAAATTATGAGTTTTGACATTGACTCCCTTTCTATTGCCCATGCCCCATTTTTGAAATCTATTACATGGATGGATACACAGAGCTTCATGATTATTACATGGTAATTTAGTAAATGCCAAAGAATAAGTTTGATCAATGAAAAGTCAGTTTTAAGTTATTACAATCAAATTTTATACAACGTTAATGTCAATTTACACTTGTTACATTCTTTTGGTTTTCCCCTTTTACTTCATGCATTTCCTAAATAAACCTTTCTTTACAATATTCCTTTTCATTTTCAGAACGTTTTTTATTTTTTTTGATCAGTGAAAAAAAAATAACTTTTCTACTTTATTAGAATTAGCCAGTGCATTTTAGCATTAATTTTAAATACAAATTCTGCTCTTCCTGGTGATAATAAATTATTATATGATATTATGTAAAAATATAAAATATAAAACTTGACTTTGTATTTTGATGAATAGAGTGGAGGAAATGAGGTTTTTTTTTGAGTATGACAATCCATTATTTCCTTTCAGTTGGTAGAAATTCAGTACTGTGCACTTTTGCATTCCTGTACTGTATGAATCTACAAATTGGTATCAATTTTAAATACTGGATCATACAGTACTGAATGTCTATATTCTCTTTTCTTTTTCTTTGCAAAGAACTGAATAGCATGTAACAAACAATCCTATAGTTGATTTGATTACCTATTACTATCATCATGGTATATAAGTGCGCGACATTTTCGCACTAATAAATCTTGAATAAACAACTTTAATGAAAATTCATCGTGATTCTAATGCTTCAATAACAACAAAGAATTTAGCATTTGTTTATTATTTTTATTACTTTCAAGACTTCAAAATTAAAACTTACAAACACCTGTACCTAAATCTGTCTCATGTACTATGTAAAAATCGTTCTACATACCAAGATTGATCAGCCTATGTGCGTTTCAAATTCAGTCACTCGAGAACATTATTAATATTATTACGTATTACTGTTACGCGTAGTTAACTTCAAAGCCAAAATTCGAAAAAACATCAAGTTAATACAATTCATATGCATGTAAAGACAATTGATTTTCTTCATTTTATGAAATGTAATAATAAATAATAAAAGAATAGTTTTAATTAGAGATATTTTTATTTTGAAAGGGAATGAATACAGTCAACCCCCTTTAAGTGCACCCTCCTTGGGAACATATCACTATTTTTCATGAGTGTGCATTTAGAGAGGGCTGTCTGTATATGGAAAAAAATAAGTAGTTTCATAATAATATAATAACATTTGTAAACCCCTCATGATAATCATTGCAAATATACATACAGTAATGATAATTCTTCATTCATCTCTGGGACACATAATTTGGAACTTTTGATAATTCTTTTTATCATTATTATTATTACTGGTGTTTTTAATTACGTCGAGTGTATTAATTACGTCAAAGGCTTTTTTTTTAGTCAATTGTCAAAATGGACCTGGTGAGAAGCTACCTTTAGTCATACTTTGGTTACGTAAATGACTAAAGTCAAAAGTTTCGTCATACATCATTACCTGAAATATTAAGTGTAGGATAAGCAACAGCATCGCAAACAACCACAACCTTCCCTCAAGCAACCCCAACACCACCATCTCAATCGCTAACTCAAAATAATAATCAATCACCCAACCCAAATTTATCACCAACTCAACCACCATCATCAAGAACACAAGGTCATATCTAGGATGTCCAATCCAATCCTGCTTATGATTAATATCAGATTAGTTCATTTTATTTTAATATGATTTTAAGGAACTTTGTCCGACTTGCAACTATATACAATCGGAGAAGCATGCACATACACAAAATGAAAGGAACCAGGTAGAGTCTCGATCACTAAAATTTTCCAACACTACCCAACTTCTCATCTTTTACTCATATGTGGCTTTTTTTCAAGCTCAGTTTCTTAAATTTTATTTTCGCATAGTTCTGGTATTATCATTACTTGGGCGATACAATTTATTTGTAAAAAGGAATGTATTCACGAGTAATAACGCACAATTCTCATGAATACTGTAACGGACATGTAATTTATGGAGGGAGACAAATACATTCACATTCAAGGAAAGGATTAAACTACAATAAAAAAGATAATTTATTTTGATTCAATCAAGAGAAAAATATATAATAATTTTTAATTGCAAAAAAAGATTCGTGAAGTTTAATTTGTGATCAAATTCGGTTGTCTTTTCCTCTCGATAATTTATTATCAATGATTTAATCTGCATAGATTTTTGACGTGAGAATAAGAATGAATGAAAGTCTATCTGTGTTCAAAAAAGTACAAACAGAGGAAAAAATGCTACATGTAAACTCCGAAAGAGATACGTTAAATAATATTCTCTTGCATTAAA